AATCTTTAAATTTATTAAGTGTTATAATTCCGATAGAAAATGAATGATGTATACTAATGTACATGATGTATACAATGTTTTTTTTTTTGAAAATTCCAAGACCCTACTCCCTAATGTTATTCGTTTTTTATGAGAAAGGTCATTTAGCGGTCGCGACCTGTCGATTTAGCTCAGAAAATAGGATTTTGTAGATTTATTAGTTTTTGAATGACTATTTTTCATTCGATTTCAAATACCGAATATGACCTGAGAAGAGGGTACATAGGCCTTTAAAATGGTATATAATAATTTATTTGCGGACTTGGCTTGTTGGGATTTTGTATCGGGTAAGATAAAAAAAAACAATATTTCTCCTAATTTTTTAAATGTTGACCATCGATAATTTCCACAATTTCAAAATATGTAGTAATATCTAGAATTAAATATATTTTTAAATATTTTTTTATACTGATAGCTAATTTGTTGCAATCGCATAAAAATTGTCGAAGTTAGGCGACTTTTCTTAAATACAGCCTTGAATTTATATTGTTTACTATTTAGCAGACCCGACGAGCTTCGTCCCGCCCAAAATTTATTTTTTTATTCAAACCTTTGGTACAACTTTTTCACCATAATTCACGTGGTCGTCAGAAAGCATATCCTCCATTGCCGTCTTAACCCATTTCGTACCACTGTTGCGTTTTCGCAACAGCAGAGCTAAATTTTTTTTTAAATAGATAAGCTGTAGAAATCTCACAACACATTATGCCAAATTGTAGCTTGGCCTTTATATTTTACTAATTTGGTAAAAAAAGTTTTTGCTTGCAATTAGTCTTTTCTTCTTCCATGTAAAAAATAAAGCTAAATTTGGACCAATTTTAAAATGAATGCAATGGTGACACGCATCATTTGTTTTATTCATATGGACTTAAATATGACGCCAAAAGCTCGGATTAACTTCCTGTGCATATATCCACAAAATATATTTAAGGTGGTGGCAATTTCAAAATGGGAGAGCATCATTGGCCTACATAAATCCAATGTCCATAGACTTATTACAGACGAAATACCGCAAGTGTCTTACAATTGAATTTGTAGGCATTCATCAACAATTGTCTTTACTTTGTTTAGTCGCGGTAAAGCAAGGACCGCAATGGTTATGGTGGTAGATTTAACTGTGATAACTCGACTCCAGTGCCACCTGGAGTTTTAGGTTGTGAATCTAAACCAGGGCCGGATCGTGAGCTCGATTTTTACAAATTAAACATATTTTTATAAATCATGTTTTGAGTCATATGTTTTTGACAAAAACACACTGTAGTAATTTTAAAATTTCAAAATTACATTTCCCGACTGAAAAATAAGATATTCGAGCCAACTCGACGGCGCACAGTGTGCTTTTTTAAAACTTCATGCCAATTAATCGTAGCGCTTTCGACAGAAGCAATATTTTGATATGAAAAAAAATGGCTTTGAAAGCTAATGTAATTGCCTTTCAAAGAAAAATATTGCCATTAAGCCACAATCACTCCTTGACCTTAAAAAAATTGGTCAAAAATAAAGTTCTTCGATATATTAAAAAAAAATAATTTTTTGTACTTTTTATTGTACTAGTATTATAGATTTTGAGACGAGAAACACGATTCCACTGTTTAAAAAACGAAAAAAAATTTCAACCCCCCTCAAAATGCATTATGTATTGCATTTTATATGATTTACATGCAACTGTGCATCCTTCACACAATTTTATATCCCTCGAACAACAAGTCAGTTTTAGTGCTATTCAAGACCTTTAATTTATAAGCCAAGGTAGAAGACTCTAGGCCAATGGTGGGCAAACGCGGCTCTTTTTACTTTCTCTTTGCTTAGAACATTTTGGCTCTTTTTACTTTTTAAAATACAAGTTTATGTATGTATTATGTTGTTTTTTCATTTTATTCTTCTTATATACACATACGCAAATAGAGATCGGAACATTACCCGCAATTAGGGAATGAAAATTGGCTTTCTGACTAATTGTTATTTACCGATATGATGGAACATTTGCAAAACTTGAAACTGTCTTTACAAGGAGAGAATAAAAATGTTTTTTATTTGTCGCAAATTATTTTAAGTTTTGAAGCTAAACTACGTATTTTTATTCATCATCTCAAAAAAAGAATATTTCATCATTTTCCATGGCTCGAAAAAAATATTGCACATAATTTAAAACCAGATTTTGAAAAAAGATTTGCCGATTTGAAATTATTTAAATGTACGTTTGCATACTCCATAAACCCCTTTATATGTATCATAACTGAGGACGAATTTACAATGTCCGAATTACTCCTTTTTAAGAAAAGCGAAGAAGAGTTAGAGTTTCTGGAATTAAAAGAAGATAAGGCACTGGAAATGTAACATACAGCTTTGCCACTAATGAATTCCCGCAACATGTACCAGATTTAAAATATCCGCTGTTGAAAATAGCTGCGTTCCGTATATTTTCCATTTTTGGCACAACTTATAAACGTGAGTCTTTGTACTCTACAATGAAATTCGTAAAGTCAAAATATCGTTCACAATTCATTCGCGTACCTGATAATTGCTGAAAATTATAAAAACTATCAGCTTTTTGTGTTCGCGTACACAAAAAAACTTGCAAAGTGGAGGAAATTGAGAGAATAAAATGACATTCTCTTTGAGGACAAGCTGCTAGTTTCTGCTGGAAAATATTTGCCAACAGCAATTTGCCAACAAGAAAACAGCTGATCAAAAACAGCTGGTTGGAATTTGTGCAAATACCTAAATTTAACTTGCAAGTTTCTGCAAATTTTCTGTTCGCGTACTATTTTGGATATGTTTCTCTTGAGAGGTGGCATTTCGCCGGAATTTTACTGTTTTACATTTTCTACTGCAGATTTTAAACGGACGTATGTACCTATTGACTAACCAACATTTACCAGAACTGTGACGAACGGCTTTAACTGACGTAAAACCAGAAATTTTATTTAAAAATAAAACTTTTGTTTTTGTTGTTTTTTTGTGGCTCTTTGGAATAAAAACTAGCACAGCAGTTAAAATTGTTTTAACTTGGCTCTTAGACGGCCTAAAGGTCTTGAATTGCACTTATTGTTCGGGGGATACAAAATTGAAGGATGAACAGCTGCATGAAAATAGAAAAAAATTCAATAAATAATGCATTTTTTATATAAAGGTGTTACATTTTTTTTTTGAATTTTGAACTGTGGAATCGTGTTGCTCGTGTCAAAATCTATAAAAGCAGTATATTAAAAATACATACATTTTTTGTTTTGAAAACCATTTTGTTTCGTATCAAAATGCTGCTTCTGTCGAAAGCGCTACGATTAATTCGCATGCAGTGTTCAAAAAGCACAATGTGCTGAAAGGACAAGATATGTATTTTAAAATGCTGTGCATATTTTTCAGATATGAGTTCAGCGACAAAATCTATTAGAAATGGCCAACTTCATATTAGAAACAAATTTCAATTAGCACGAAATTGTTCCGGAAGTAGAATTACAATACCAAGAGTGTAATTGAAATTTGTAACCTCGATTTCTCGACCGACTCGGATTTGGGGGGCAGTGGGAAATTTCCCCTTTGAGGGTCACCGCCCACTTATATGATGTATGCGTTTCTCAAAAACTACTTGACCGATCTGGTGGCTATTCATATACAAAATTTCATGAAAATCGGACCGTCCGTTCGCGAGATTACCTGTTATAAAAAGGGGCTTCTCTCTATATAATTAGTATAGATATAGATGTACCGGACTTTCAGATTTTTTGAGCACTACGGTAAGGAATTCATCAATATTTATTCAAAATTGGTATTTACAATCGCTCTTTAGCAAAGAAGTGGTTTTTCAAGAAATTTTAGGAAAATGGGGGTACATATGTACATTCATACATACAAGGGACGTTGTGACACTTTACGGAACCTTCTGAAATATTTAAATGTATAAATCATCTTCTTATAGTACAACGTTCTCATCAGGGCTGAAAAATGGAAATTTCAGATTGCACCTAATATCATACAATAAATGTACCTAAATGAGACAAATTCTACCAAAAAAGTTAAATCATTCGTTTGTAGTTTGTTTTTCATTAATTTTATTTAAAACATGAATACAAAAGATGGATGTACGTTAAACTAATTTTTTTTTTGTTAACAGAGCTAATATCTATAGTCTAATGAGAATCGGAGAAACATTGTTTTTGCCTAATTTTGACTACAGAAAAAGACATAAAACACACTTTGCGAAGTTTACTTTTTAATCCAGCTTTTTATAAAACAACATTAGAAGTCTGCTAATTTATCCGATTCCCTTTCAATAGGTGCAGCAAGTCTAGATAAAATAATGGGAATTGCCGTAAGTAACTTCGAAAGCATTTTGAATATATATCCAGAAATCAATATCGATCAAATAGCTATTTTCTCAACTATAGAAAATATGAAATTTGACGAAATCCTAGACACAGGACTGTATGAGCGAATAAAATTAATACAAGTAATTCTCATCCGCATATGATAACATTTTAACTTTTTAACCTACTTCACAAAAAGGAGAAGGTTATCAATTCGGTGGATTTTTTTTAAATTTTTTTATGTATGTTACCCAAGAATGATAGAATACAAGATTGCGCCGATCAGAGAGGATTTTTGTGAATAACTTTTGTGTGACGTCTCACTGGTGCAATTGCGAGAGAGAAATGCCAAAACGCGAGCAAGAATGGAAGAAGAAGAAAAAATGTTGCAAGGAAAACGTAAACAAGTAGCACAAGTGTGACGTTATGCGAACAACGATTCTGTCAAATTCGTTAAGAGAGGAATAGCGGTCCGAGATCGACGCAACCTTTGTATTCTCTCAATCGTGTATGTTACCGCATAACAAATTATTTTTTTAAAGGAAAGGTGTTACCTCACAGGTGGTACCATACTAATTTGGTTTAGATCCGATCAGTGGGTCATGAAGAAATTAACGGTAATCTTAAATTTTTATATGAGAATTAAAGCCGGTTTTGTTTTTTGCTAAAAAATTACTTGTTTATTATATTTTTTTTTTTTTACTATGTTCAAAATACTTTTGTATGGCACATACGATGATTTCGCACTCAAGAAAATAATGCATTGTAACATACGATACACTAAATTTTTGGCGTAACTATAGGGATTGTAGCCACAATATTTTACCAAGTGATGCGGTGTGGAGCATATAACAAATTTGCACCAAAAAGTAAATTTCGAAAAAAATGGTACATATGATAATTTTGCGCAAAAGGGGTCGATATATTAGCACGGAAAAGAATAAGAACTAAAAATATATATCATCAAAAGATGATTGTACCTAAAATCTAGTGATTGTACCTAATGTACCTTTAAGTCCGCAAACATCGGAAAAAGGTACAGGTGTACCTACTTTTTCATCCCTGGTTCACATATGCACATTCGATATGTAAAAAGATACTACCCAATGAATATAAAAAGAATAATCTTCACATTATTAAAACTGGAGTTTCTCTGATTTATTTGACAAATATGTACATACTGAATTTCTAATGAAAGTGTTTGTATTTAAGATACATAAGGGAATTCAAAATCGCCAATTACAGTAAACGTACCTTCATGCAGACATAAGTACAAAATTGCTGCAAATAACTTACATAAATTCTAGAAATCCTTAATATAAAACTACTACTTATTAATTACAGGTACATGTTCTATATAAATACATACATACATTATTGTACGTACACAAACATACATACATATGGTAAGAACATACATATGTATATATAAAACTTCATTTACCACTCAACATAGATATGTATGCATCTATGTACATATTATTTGTTGTAGCAAGTCCACGCAGTCGGCACTAGATAGTCCGTCCACTTGTCATATGTTCTTGGACAATTAAGGCGAGCATAATATTCCATGCTGTATAACGAAAACAACAAACCAGTGCCGATGATCAAAGTAGCCCACACCAAAAAATTACCAATTCTTTTGGAGACTTTCCGCGTAATAATAAGCATAATTATACCTGGCCCTCCAAAGAAACAAAATAGGACTGGAAAGAAAAGTCTTAATGCAAATGAAATAATATGCTCGTGCACTAAAGCTGACGTATAGAAAACCACGATCGTTGCAGACAACTTGGAGCCTTTGAAAATGTAATAGTAGGTATCCTTGTAGATGTACTCATAGAGCCAGTCATGCACCACTACATTCCAATCGCGGTAGTAAGCATTGTAGTTTGCCGATGTCCACCAGTCCTTATAAAACATGCGATCACCGAAACGCAACAATTCAGAAGTGAAATTCAGCCAAGAGTGTAGAATAAGATAGAAACCACACACAAAGATTATGTTGTTGGGAAAGAACATTCCATGCAACTTGATAATTAAGGAACGCATGGGTAGTTCCTCACGTCCAAAGTCCTCGAATTGAACCTTAATGTGGCGTTCAAACAAATAACTGTACAGGAATGCAATGGCCGCGATTTCCAAAAATCGCGCTAGAGCGAATCTCCATCGAATATGTGACGTACGCGGATAGCTGTCGCGGTAGATGAGCGTAGGTGCAAATAGGAAGTATAAATAGGAGCTGAATGCTGGCAAACGTAATGCAATTGATGACTTGGTTCCTTGTATTTCCCCAGAATCGGTGTCTAATTTCAGTTTACCAACGAGAACGCGCGCAGCGTTTGTACGTACAAAGGAGTGCATCTTCATGAGTAGTCTAGTCGACTCCAGTAGCAAAATGGAAGAAGTTATAAAAGTTAACTGAAGTTTTAGGCAAAGCGCAGACGTTACATAACCAAAAACTAGCTGGGAACTGATGTAAGTTATTAGGCAGGAATGTGACCAGAAACTCTGCATTGCAGCTGAAAAATTAAAAAGATAACAATATATGTAATAGATATACATATACTATACATATGTACATATGTTAGGACTTAAATACAAAATAATCGCATAGTGAAACCGAGTAAACTGTAAAAGTAGGACTCCATACAAGGTTTTCCAGGTGTTCAGCGCTTTACTCAAATACACGCCGAAAACCTGAAAAGCGCTGAACATCTGAAAAATATAGTGCGGAGTTCTACATGCTAGAAGATCCGAATAGGGCCCGACCTCCATCCACCTGTTTAATGGATAAAATTAAGTGTGTATGAAATTTAACTTGTTGGTAAATATTTCGCGAGTACATTGGCTAAAAAATCCAGGCCATGCCATCTTTAACTAATAATTCAAAAATTATTTTTTTTTTTAGTTTTGCACTCATTTGTTTACTGAACAATTTACTTACGTACATACCAATCGAAAGCATAAAGCCTATAGAATGTGTTAAACAGATGAGAGAAAATTACTAGTATTACTTGCCCGTTCATCCCTGTTAACCTCTTACACATATGTATGTTAGAGTTTGGCCGAACTTCTCCTCCGATTTGTGGCGTCCGCCTTGATATTGCCACACAAAGCGGAGGGACTTACAATTGTATTTTTATGTTTTTCATGGCAGGAATACACTCGGAGGTCTGCCATTCGGACGATCGCCGTTAAAAAAAACACCTTTTTCTATATTTTTTGCGATGTTGCTTTGACCAGGACTTGCACCCAAACCCTGCGGAGTGGAAGCGCGCACTGCTTCCCACTATTGATTATTTAATTAAAAATATCCTTGCCAGGATTTTTTCAGCCAACCCACTCGCTAAATATTTACTAACGCGTTAAATTTCATAAAAAGATTTCATCCATTAAACAGAAAGGTGCAGGTAATGCCCTATTCGGATATTAAATGGCGTTTCCACGCCAACCGAATCCGAATCCGAAAAACTAAGTAAATGTGTACCCTTAATATGATGTATATAAATCTATTGTTTGAGTTAGATTGTTTGGAGTTTTCATTGGTAATCTGGAATATAGCACAAACTTCAATGAAAGTTGTCAAATATGTGCTATTGTTCGAATTACCATTTATTTTGCAAGCGACAAAAATAACGGGTTTTTTGAGTTTAGGCAAAAATAAATGCTAAATTTTAGAATCTGACTCAGATTTGTATTCAGCGACCGTAAGAAATGACTATTCTGGCCTGTAGTGGTTCTAAGAAGAAGAAGAAGAAGAAGAATACGCGAGGGATTTTTTGTTCAGGTTAAAGGAGCCGCCACCTGTTGAAAAATTAAATTCGAATTATTTAATAATCAAGACCATAAAATCCGCACCGTTCGTTCGATTTTCCAAAATGAGGCGTCAAGTTAAAAAGCTTCGCTTTTAGATGTGCAATAAGGTTTTACTTTTCTGAAAACAGTTGCCACCTTTAAAAAAATTATATTCAAATTATTAAAAAAAAATTATTATTACAAAATGGTATAAATTAATAATTAAAAAATCATATTAGGTAAGACAAATATGTATCACTATATGGGCGCCAAACGAAGGGGTATCAAAAAGTAGTAGTTTGAAAATATTTTGAAGAGGCTTGCCACCTGCTTGAAATGTGGAATTTGGTTTACTTATACACAAGTTATATGAATTATCAAAATATGGATGTCAAACGAAGGAGTGTTAAGATATATTTAGTTTGAAAGCTAAGAATATTTTTGAGGTGTGGAAAGAGGGTTGCCATCTGTTTAAAAAGTTAAATTCAAATTATTTAATTGGTAAAATGAATTTTTAAAATACGGGTATCAATCGAACGGGGTTTGAAAAATTTGTATTTATGAACTATACCCAGCGGGGTTGCCACATGTTTGAAAAATAAAATTCCACTTAATTCATCAGTTACTTTAAATATGTATCGCAATGTCCGGCGAAGGAGAGTTAACAAGGATTAAGCTCGAAAATAATTTTGAAGATGGCTGCTACTTGTTGAAAGATCTAACTCAACTAGTATCGCCCAGTGGTCGAAATGCGACCACATCACATATTTCATACACTTTTTTATTTTGCTTGTGACGTTTTTAAGATCCATCAGCACCTCTTGTTCGTCTATACCTTCGGTTAAATAATTTTATAATTCATAGGAACAGGAGGGAGATTTAGATTTGTATGGGAATTCAATTGCGTAATAATATATAAGATGGCAGGTTGCTTTTCTAACTGATATTCGGGTTGAACTTGTACGAATCAGGACTTTAAATATATTTTTTTAATATTTTGACCAAAGTGGCTCTTAGAGGATTAAAAACTGAATTTGACACATCTATACCAAGTCATCTTTCATTCAAATTTACCACAAAAATCATGTTTGCGTTTTAATATATAAGATGACATGTTGCTTCTCTAAATGATATTCGGGCTGAACTTGTACCAATCAGGACTGTAAATAGTTTTTTTTTGATATTTTGCTCAAGGTGGCTCTTAGAGGGTTAAAAACTAAATTCGGCACATTTACACCAACTCATCTTTCATTTTTTTTTTCAAAAATATATTTTTGAAAAGTGGCTCTTAGAGGGTTAAATACTAAACTCGGCGCATCTACACCACCTCCCTCCTCTTTCTTTTAAAATCAATGGGGATTAAGTACTTAAAAAGTGTACCACAAAAATTATGTTTGCGTATAAATATATAAGATGGCATGTTGCTTCACTAACTGATATTCGGGTTGAACTTATACCAAGTGGAGTGGAAGTGCGCACTGCTTACCACTACACCACAGCGGCCGGCAATATATAAGAATATATAAGATATATGAGAACATATTGCATGGAACTGAATTTGCCATAACTCGACTGTGGAGCCAGCTATCGGGCTCATTTTTTGGCAGGTGTATATATCCTTATGCAACGAATATATATTCTGAGTTTGAAGCAATTCGGACTATAAATGCTTAGTATAGCTCGACCCCTGCGCCACCTATCGGAAAAGTTGAAAGTTTGTGCACTCCTCCTCCGAAACACCTTTCCAACAAAGCAACAATCATTCGAATCGGTTAAGAAACATAGGAGAAAATTGTTCCCAGTTATTCATGCTTGTCTATTTATATATAGATAACCCAATACAAAAAGTATATGAAATATAAAAATACCATAGTCAAACGAAAGACTGTTTGAATGTTTGAAGAGGGTTGCCACATGTTTAAAAAGTGACATTCATACTATTCAATATGTTGGATGAATTATTAAAAGATGGGTATAAATAGAAATGGGTTTGAAAAGGCTTTATTCCTGACCTCTATTTAGAGGGTCGCCATTTGTTCGAACAATCAAATTCGAATTCGTTCAACAGTTTATTGAAATACATGTGTATCACAATGTCAGACGAATGAGATTTAAGAAGATTTTAGTTTGACAATAATTTTGAAATGGAATTTTAAAAAATGAGAGGTCAAATTAACGACTTAGCCTGTAGATATGTTATACAGTGAAATTATTAATTAATTTAGGACTTTTTTCATCGGTATAGGGTGATTTGAAATTTTATGAAATAAAGACGTGCACTATGCGAGACTGCTCTTCAATCAGAAACGACTGCACGGTTTTAGATGAAATAAGGCACTCGAATCTCTTATAACTCTAACATTTGGATTTTTTATTAATTTTTTGAAATTAAATTTTAGGCGTTTTAACGCCATGCGGGATCACTAGTTTATTATGTATGCCGGTGTAAAAAAAAGAATTGTTTAGAATTTTCAGCAATTGATCTTTGTTGTCTAGATCAGACATGGGCAGATTTGCCCGTATGGGCTTTTTTGCCCGTACGGGTAAGCGAGCCCATTTCGCTGGCTAGATCAGGGGAAAATCATGGGCAAACATGAAGGGGGCAACGGATCGTACTAATTTACGTATACCAAGGAGAGCCACTGCACACGCATTCTGGAGTAAAAAGGCCCACTCTCCCTAACGTACGCCACATACACTCCTCGTCATTTGAATAGCTCAACCTTTCAATCCTTAGTATTTACATTTTTAATTTTGTTTTTCTAATATTCATTACATCCGATTTTAAAACTCTATACAGGGTTAAAAAATGCCAACGAAGGGGTACAATAAAGTACAAGTTTCAAGTGTCTGTAAAATAGCGGTGATTTTTGCTGCGTATTTTCTTTCATACAAAGTATGCTCGACAAAATTTTATATGGAATAAAATGCCCAGCACCGTCAATAAAAAATAAAAAAACTTCAAAAATCAGGGCTATTTCAGAGTCACTTGAAACTGGCACTTTATTACACTATAATTGAATGGGCTGCAAAATTGCATATCCAAAATTTTTCTAAAAATATTATTAACTTATTGACTGCAGGTCATTAGGATAGCACCCTCCTATGTTGACCTTTTTTAAGAACTGTTTCCAGCTCTCAAGAAAAACGAAAAAATCATGTAAAATGCTGCCCAAGAAATGGACAAGAAATTTTTTTTTTAAGTTCTAATTTGTAAACAAATTTACAATTGAAATATGCTATATTTTTACAAAAAATTTATATTAAATAAACAAAAGGAAAACTGTAAATACTAAGCATTGAAAAGGTGTGCAATTCAAATGACGAGGAGTGTATATGAGCAGATGTGCGGACTGGATACTGATAATTTAGTCTGATGAAGCAGAAGTTAAGCGTGTCCAGGAAAAGAATATATTTTGGCGTTGATCTTATGAATATATTTCAAAACACCATGTGAAGCAGTCAAATATGGTGGTGGGGCACTTGAAACTGCTACGCATTCCGACGTTTTTCACATACATATTTATTTCTCTGAAAAGTGTGGCGTTATCGCAACGCCATTGTTATACCCGAGCGCACTTGTGCACAAGGGTTTTATAACATTGTTCACATAACGGCTGTTTGTAACAGCCATGACGAATCGAGATAGATATAGATAAATGCGCACATATTTGCTCAGAATGAAAAAAAAAAATCGATTAGGCCGTGATTGTCTGTCCGTCCGTCTATCCTTCAGTCTGTGAACACAATAACTCGAGTAAAAATTGTGATATCTTAACGAAACTTGGTACCTGTACTTCTTTTGAGCGTAGGACGGATGGTGTTGAAAATAGGTAAAATCGGACAATAATCACGCCTACCTCCCATATAACGGTTGCTGGCGGAAATACGAAATCTGCTATATTTTAGTAACTTCTCAAGCATATTCACACAAAACTTATGTTGCAATGATTTTTAGGAAATAAGAATATTATATGTAATATTACATTTATGTTATATTATACATTTTTGGAAAATGGGGGAAGCCCCGACAACTTATGATTACGTACGTATTTATGTACACTCAGAAAAAAGTCAGCCATTTATATTTCTACCAACACATGATTTGGTAACTATAACCAAATAATGTGACTATAACTAAATCATGTGTTGAGAAAAACATATTTAGTTGACGTAACTAAACTCTTTTCTCAGTGTATGTATGTAGTGTGTCTCGGTAACCTCTTCACTAGTTTCTCCTAAACTTGGCACAATTGTTGGCTTCGATAAATCAGTAAATACTGAAGTTGCTTTATTCAAACTCAATGGGCGTGGCACCCCACACTTTGACCACACACTATGTTTGAAATAGGGGTAAACCGCCCCTGCTTACCATGTAACGGTAGTTTTCGGAAAAGTGAAGAAACTATATTTAATACGTGCGCCGGGTATTTCACGTTGGGCTTCACCCGAACTTAGACTTTTTCTACTTCTTTTTAATTAAAATCAGTGACAAGTCCGGCGTACCATTTACCGCAATAGTGTTTTCAAATGAATCTTATTACGAAATAGTGCCAGCACAGACTAAGGCCGACTATTGAAGTGGGCACGAAATGAACGGCATTTTTGAGCGGCTAAGCGGTATTTCTGAATGGCGCCGCTCATTGAGAGGCCTCGGCCTAACAGAGACGTTTTGCACCTCAAAATTTTGACATTAATGAACAGAGCTTATCCATCACCAGAATAACTTGTACTTATGCCGATTTCATTTCTACCGAAAAATGCAAGCTTCTCTTTGCTCTCTACGCACAAACACTAAGAAGAGGGCGATGAGAAGGAAACATTTTTTGTAAATTTACCAACTTTTTAGTTGAGAGCCTGTTAACAAGTAGAGGATTTGATGCTGGATTCTTATGTACTATTAGGTGGTTCATAAGGTGTCGCATTGTCGTATGTCGTAAAATTTTTAACGGATAAATAAATAGGGGACTTGAAGCCACAACCAACTATTTTTCAGCGGTGTGAAATTTCATAGCGAATCCCTTAAAAATAGTTTTAGCCGTTTAAAGTTTATGACATCCAACAATACGAGAGTATACAACACCTTCTGAACTCCCTATATGTTTTAGGAATAGAGTGTGGAGTCTTCCAAAAGCCACTAAGTGAAAAAAATTTACTTACGTTGTCTCGCTAGTTTAAGCCGTACATTAGCCCAAAGCTTGAAAGCGTAATAAAGTAGGAAGACTACAGCATGCTCCAACAACCAGATCCCAAACACATATTCGATTTTCTCTAAACTCGATTTGAAGGTACCCAAACCGAAATATATTCTGTAAATAACAAATTTTATTTTTAAATTTAAGATTACAATTTTGCTTTATTATGAAAATACTGACCTTCCCTCAGCTAAATAATCATACAAAACGCCGTTTATAAGCAAAACCAACAATATTGAGATGAATATGTGATAAATGGTGCGCATGTGGTCCACTTCCAGCAACGCTGTCAGATACGATTCTCGCACAGCGAACACTTTTTCGGGCAGTGGACGTGGTTGTTTTTTATGTTTGGTCGGCAATTTATTTTGTGTGTTTTCCGTTTGCTCTGAGTAAATTTTTTGGGAGCTAATTTGGACATGGTTAGATACGTCTGCGGCTGATATGCGATTACTCCATGTGTTGTCGCTCTGTGATTTTGCGAAACCTTTAAATTCATTCATTCTAAGTTCTTGCTGTCGCAGCTCCTGTACCACGCCTTCGATCTCTTCATTCATTCGTTTTTTGAAGTCTTTAAGCAAAACATTTTGTAAACTTTGTAAGCGATCACGTAGATAGTTGCGTTCTAAGTAGTCGGAATTTCCACTTGTGTGATCTAAGTTAAATTAAAGCAAACATTTGATTACTTGTTTCTTCATTGTATGTATTTACTAAGAATTTTTATGATGGGATCTCATCTGATAAGGTTTTACTCAATATGAGAGATTTTTTTACTCTCTCCTAATTGAGGGATGGAAAATTCTTGCTGGACTTCGATGAACAGTACTATTGTTATAGATTATAGAGCAATAGAAAATTTTTTCAGCTCTTTTCAGTCTTTAAAATTCGCAACACGAATGCCATTTGAGTCGGTCTTGCCTTTACATCCTAAAATTTGACGTATTTTGGCATTCACGTGCTCAGAACCATAGTTAAATAATAGTTGTGTCTAATGCAGTGGTGCACTGCGTCGACTGAGCTACCAATACCAACACAACATTTTTGACTTAGTATGTGTACACTAGCGACCCTCCAGTAGTGCTTTTGAACCGCTACTGCGCCGACTTCTAGGCAAGTAGGTACTCATTAAACCGTGGTAGTGCACATGGTAGTGCAGAGTCAAACCAGTCGGAAGCAGAATAGCGACAAACTACGACAGAGGGAGCCCATAAATCACGCAAGTAACTACTTTAGTAACTCCCAGAAGTGCAAAGAGAGCCGATGGTGATTACCACCTAGGACATTGCCTTGTAAAAGTAATCGCTGAAATACGCTGCAAGTAGTCGGTCGGTAATTTACGGAGTTTACCAGGTAGCTACCGATTCATCAGTCCTGTAGTCACTCCCCCGTACTGCAGGGGAACGTAAACTAATTCGCTGCTAGTGTGGCAACAGTTCGCTAGCTACGCACACACGACTTGTATGTGAAAGCCGAGTAGCTCCCGGAGACTCCCGTGTGCATCACTGATGTAGGTACACAAAGCACGCTGGCTTCATTCATATATTGTTTGGTAGCGGCAGAGCTGAAATGCGAAATTACCCCGTAGCGAATGTCATGCATTAGTCACTTCAGAGTCTTATAAGGAAAAGTTACGACTTAAATGACTTTGGGCTTCTTTTGTATGGAAGTCGTTCATGATTTTTTCATGTAAATGGTAATTTCGTCGTTGATGTCATCTGCATGACTTGGTCATGCAGTGATCTTTAATGACATTCAAGCGACAGTATCTTGCAATGGACTTTTTATAAGTGACCGCTGCAAGACATTGTCTGTTATAAGTCTTTGATAGGACTACACCTGCATGATACCAGTGTCATTGTCAGCTATATGTCGTTTAGGATTCACAGCAAGTGCGACGATGTCACTAAATCCTCATTAGTGACGATGTCACCCGTGACCATTTTCGCTACTGGGTAGTTCGTATATACATACATATGTACATGCGTGCAGTCAAACATACATAAATATGTATGCATGTACATATGTATGTAGGTACGCGTGTGCATGCGCGTTCAAGATGTTTATGCTATCGCTTTTTACAGCCGTCATACGTCGTTTTCTATCTTTTTTCCCCTTCTCTATACTATATCTTCCTTCTTACTCATGTAACATTTTCAGTTTTAAAAATTTCACTCTCCATTTTTGCGATACCGCCGCCTAAGAAGTTTCACTTCAAAAAATTGTTTTATTATCTCTATTCTTTCTCGTCACATTAGATCTTAAATCAGAAAAATGCAATTTAACCCAAAGTACTCTCCTAGTTAACAATAAATAAACAAATATTTGGTTTGCGAACTTTTGCTGCCTCCCCTCTAATTTGTTTTGTGCGTGCTGATGGCAGAAGTACACTCGGAGGTTTGCCATTGCCTGTTCCTTGTGTGTTTATCTCTTCAAGAAAATTTTCAGCAAAAGCCAAGTACTTGTCAAATAACAGAAATAAAGAAAAATATTTCTTGTGATTTTTCTTGCGAGCTGGAAGCTAAGCTTAAGCTGGGAAATTTTAAAATTTTCAAATTCCATCACTGGCATATACTAGTTTGTCGGGATGTACCTTGATATGATTACCAACAGCTTCCATCAAAATGTATGGCTTGACTCCTAAACGTAACTTTACTATTCAGCACAGTATATACAGTAATAAACCTTTTTGAGTACTCCTCGGTGGTAAAATCTGATCAGGGTTGATAATGAGAAGGAGCATGAATTTTGCCGATTCAGACTTGCGCACAAATTTACTGTGGTATGAAAGGGAGCAACAACCGTACTATGGCAGAGTGGCACAGGTAATTTTGTAAAAAACACTTCTTATGATTATAAGAGATAATTGCTATTTATTTTGCAATATTCCGATATCCAGCGTGTAGCCAGAGGCAGTGTCATGTGAGCCTCACTAAAATCTACTCATCACGTTGGAGCAGCTCCGGGTAATGGACCATTGAATGTGCTGGCTGAACTTATGACCACCATAACCTTCGGAGTCTCCAAGTAATTGCGTAGCCTGAGTTTCTATACTTTGATGTTGAGTATGTTTGAGGAGCTCCGGGTAATGGTCGCTCAAACTTGGGTGTGCTTAATGAGCTCTCTGGGCGGATGCGCTGGCAGGTTTTGCAGTCTATATAACTATGCAAACCTCGTTTTGTTTTGGAATAAAGACTTAAATATATTCGGAAATTTAGAATTTTGCCTGATAAATTGACAAAATTCGCGTTTTTCGTAAAAATATAATCTTACAATGGATATTTTTTTGATTTTAAACTTACATTTATGAAAACTCTGTTCAGTGTTATAATTACGATTTGAGTTTCCAGTTTAAAGAAATACATGCAATAATTATGTACTTTACTATTGATAGTATTATTAATTAAGCATTGATATTATATTTAACCTACATTTTGTTCATAAATAACACAATTATATATATTTTATCCTCGGAAAGAACTTTTTCTAGTCATGAGGCGAAATTCCCCACAGTAAGTGTTGTCTTGCACGAAAAACGAAAACGCTGCACACAACCCCAAAGTACTCCTCTGGGACCATTTGGTGAAAAACTGCGAAAAGGTTTATTACTGTATATATTGTGCTATTCAGTACTACGATGCTGAGACTACTGCGATGCATTTTTGTGTGTAAAATTTTGTTATGAGCCAATTTGCGTATCAATAACTTGATGCATTCATTTAGCAACTCTAAACTATTGCGCATCATCGACTTCTTTGTTAAGGAATATATGCCTTTGTACCTAAGCAATTCAACTGACGTTTGGAAAGTTTACGAATTGGTGACTGATTTTTTGCAATACGCACATGCATACATACATATGTATATATCGCACACCGTCTTCAAAAGAAGCACAACTCAAAATTTGGAATTTTTGAAGGGCTTTTATTTACCTTTCAGCAGCAGCTGGAGCAAAGTTTTGTCTTGCCCATATGATTATCATGTGCTAAGAAATAGCTTTCCCCATTTTCTGACAAACCTGTAATTTTGAGTTGTGCCTCTTTTGAAGACGGTGTGCGATATACATATACATGGTACATCATCTGGGCTCATCTTTTATTACCGCACAAAAATTGAAATGTATCTGCTTTTGACAGTTATCCGCATTCTTCATGTCGTTACATTTTGAGAAGGTCGCGAATTGCTGAGTACAAAATTTATGTAAATCAGATTAAGTTAAATTATTCTCCGGAAATATGTGCAGTACTGTCTGAAATATGTGTAAGCAATTCTGCTACGGCTATCAAACCATATTTTCGCTTATGCGCTAAAGATTAGTGTTTACAAAAATTATATATAAATATGGATTTAACTGTAAAAAGCAGGGAAAAGATTTCATTTAAAAAGGCAAAATGAAATAGCGAATTAGACAGGAGAGGCACTAAAATTCCGAAAAAGCTAGAAAAACCGGAAATGAAAACTGCAAAATAGCAATAAAAACCATATGTTTTAGACATTTTATTCATTTTTATTTTATAAGTAAAACGAGAAAAATCTTTGAACTAATAATTTCATTATGAAAAATTTGTGCCTTGAATTTTTGATTGAGTATTTCCTTCTTTCGAGCTTTTAACTCATGAAACCTTACTCTCTACAGTGACAGTAACATTTAATACAAGACGCATCTTGAAGATTTCGGGCAGCCTTTACATTCTACTGTTATCGCGAAGGAAAGCCTTAAATGTACAGATGTACATATGTATGTAAGTATATACTAAAAGTGCGCTCAACATGAGCTGGTACACGTGGTTCCTAATTTAAATATGGCGTTATTTTATATTAAAAATGAGTACAATATTAAGGCGTTGCGACACTTACGACGCCCTGTGCATCCCCTAATAAATTCTTTGGTATTGAAAAAAAAATTCTGGTCATATTCATCGTAGCACTGTACGAGCGGCGGTTTGAGTACTTTCGCGCTTTTGTACCGAGTTTATCAGATTTGTAGTCGTTGTGTATGTTAAACAAGTAATGTACAATAAACTATAGTATTTATTAGCGGCTGTAAAGATTACCACTATATTAGTTGTTGCTTTATTGATTTATTAGCAAATACGGATTATCGCTACTGGCTGTATTTATTTAAGGGCACACCAATTCTAAAACCATATTAAATTATGTTGGAGAACATATGTACATATGCATCAATCAGAAAAAGTTCGACTTTTAAAGAAATTGGAATTTTAGTGTACATGCATATATACACTTACGAGCATAGCAGGGGTATTCTCAAAGTCTTGCAGAGTCCTCGGTGCACGGATTGCATGGTTTGCCGAGCTGTCCCATAAGAAAACCGGTTTTTACTTCGATGCTTCGACTTTGAGAATACGCCTAATGTTTGTTTTTGAGGAATAGGGAAAACTAGTGGCTTCCGGCATATCCAGATAAGATAATTCATACTTTTGAACAAGTTTCGAATTTTATTGTTGCTTATTTTGCAAAATATTAAATAAATATAAATTTTATTTTAAACAAAACATTATGAATTCAATAAATTACATTGTAAGTAGTTTTCGCAACTTTTTTGGTTAAGCTATTTGTGATAGATTATTGTTCTTCAGTGCATTTTATTATAGTAAACTGAATAAAAAAATCATATAATCCGTATCTGAGAATAAAAAAATATATAAAAAAAATTTGTTGCTGCTTACATATAGGTATTTAGTTACATACATATATGTATTTATATATTCTCTACCCAAGTGTAAATCTCTATTTTTCTATCAACGATTTTATTTGGAAGATCACACTTTTGGACTTATTCGGTTCTGCCGGGAAGTCACTGGTATGTGCATACTGATTAAGATTCGGAAAACATACAACTCAAAGTAAGCACTTTAAACCGCCTTCAAAGTTCACATGTTTATATATTGATGTAAGAGAAGTTAAGATTTGCATTTGAATTTCACGAACCACTAATGGAAAAAATCATTCGCATTCTTTGGATGCGATTACATTTCGTTTACAAAAATTCCAGTGCCAACGATCTTCTTACCTTTCTCTAATTGATCATTTCTCGACGAACTATTTTGCTCATTCCGGAAACATTTTATTTTTCCTTCCGCCATTTTTTTTTTTTGTCAAATAACTTGCTTTTCTTTAGTTTCACATTCAGGAAAGCACGCAAATCTACACAATACCTAGCCAACTATTGTTGTCAACGACAGAGGCGCAATCGAAACTAAATTCCTTTATATTTCTGTTACCGTATCTGTCTTGATGTTTAGCAGACGAATGATGCGCGCGTATTGATGAGCCGTCCACGCTTTCGTTAAACTTTATATGTACATATTAGGTATGTTCATTTTTCAGCTTTTTCCGATCCCGGAATTTTCGGGATGTCGTTATCACAATCCCGGGATCATGGGATTAGTCCCGGGATTTAGATATTCATTATTATTCAACAACTTAAATACAAAGAATTGTTTCTATATTGTTTGAGAAGCTCTCCTACCATAAAGTAAAGAATACGTAAATGGGTTTGAAACCTACTTTTTTATTAAAAGTGGCGTTTTAATTTTTTCTCTGACGTAAGGATTTATTTTAAAGGACTTTGTAATTATATATCGACTGCTGAGTGGAAGATCGACCTATCTCGGCAGCCAGTGCGAGAACGCCCTATCTCAAAAATTTTTTCAAGAACGCCCTATTTCAGAATTTTATTCAAAAACACCCTATCTCGGAATTGGGTTCAAAAACGCCCTATCTTACCTTAAAATGTATTGAAAATGTGCTGATATAGGGCGTTTTTGAATCGGCAGCTTAGATAGGGCATTTTTGAAACGAATTCTGAAATAGGGCGTTCTTGAAAAGTTTTTTGAGATAGGGCGTTTTTGAACTGGCTGCTGAGATAGGTCGATATTCCACTCAGCAGTCGATATATGATATGATTGATTTCAAAATCTATTAAAAAATTCAACGCAATGTAGAATAAAAATATGGGTACCAAATGTAAGAGGAAACTTCTTTAGGATTTAAAATTTTTAAATTTTTTGGATTCACAAGGACGAGTAGGTAATTTTTAAGGATAAATGACGAAATTCGAGGATGTTATCGAGTTTATATAAGTCCTTAACATATCGCACACCTAGATCTAAAGTGAGCTAACTACGATACTTTCGATAACTTTCGATACGATATGATACCATATCGATATTTTTGCCATTCGATATCGATACTTTTTGCTCGATAGTTTTCAAACGATATATTTTGGAATCGAGTACCAGAACCCTTGTATCGTATCGAATCGTAAATGTACATTACATTAGTGTTACTACGTTTATGCGACAGAATTCATGAATTCTTCATTTCATGAATTTAAAAATGGTCCCGGTTATGCATAGTTCGCAAATTTATGAAATAAAGTGCCTTGAAAAAGTGGCAATGCACTAGCGAGAAACTAAACAGTAGGGTTGTGGCTTTTTCGGCCTCCTTTTGAATTTGCAAATGTCGTTGGTACCAGGCAATGAACCATATTATATTTAAATTGGTTATAATATATTTTCAGTTTATTCTATTTCAATTTATTTAATATTTCAACGATTCCACATAACTTTTCCAGTGTTTTAAATCCGGGTTATGCCACTTAAGCTTTTTAATCTAAAAAACATCATAACCCTAGTAAACAGCTGTTTGTGAAACGTGGCGTTGCCGGACTTGCGCTTCATGAATTTTAGCCTTAGCTATTGTTCCATCTCTTGCAAATCTATGTCGTACTATAACCTTACTTACTTTGGAATTTATATGTAAAGCAATATGGATATATTTTGCGCTTTAAACCGCAGAAATGTGCACTATCTTAGGTTGGAATATGGCGCGCCTTCAGTGAAGCACTTACTAAAGTGCAAAGTGTTAATTCTTTAATAGAAAATGAGACCAATATTCATATTTAATTTTTTTTGTTTTGTATCGATATTTTGAATATCGAGTCTTTTTATTACGATATTAATGGGTATATATTTTTACAGCGATACTTTAAATTAGTGCTATATCGCTAGAGCAAACTGAAAATTCATGGAGGGAAATGTAACTGCTTGTGCATTGTACAGATTCAGCGCAACTAATACAAAAACTGGTATAACAGTAGTTTTTTAGTTAATGTATATAATCACGAAGAAAAGTCCTAAGAATTGATTTATGCTAAAATTTAGCCATACATTTATTTTTTTAGTTGATCGCACTTTAGATCTAGGTGTGCCATATAATTTTTTCAAAAACAAATATTGCGAAATTTGATGGATACAATTTTAAAACTTACCAGTCCTTCTGCACCAAAAACTTGATTCTACAGGAATTCCTCTTTAATTTGGTACCCATTCTTCTTCTCTAAGCACATTTCTTTGAATTTTTTAAATCATTTTTTAATTACTGACGTCAGACTGAAAAACTAAAAATACAATTTTACTATATTTGGCCCATGGTTTCGCAAATATATTGATATTTGATATCAATTGATATTGAGCTAGACTTTTATAAAAAAGGAGTTTCTGTTATTGCCATCAGTGCAAATTACATATCCCGAAAATACCGGGATTATTTGCCAAGAATCCCGGAATTCCGGGATTAACATTTCTAGTACATATGTACATGTCCAGTATAAAGTGAGCATATTGGTCACTTCTGCTCTGATTGCTGCTAGTGCTTATGAACACCACTCTAATTCTTGGCGTGGTGCGAGCGCCACTCTCTGCTTCTATAAAAAGTAAGTTATTGGACTGAAAACCCAGTACTTTTATGACGTTATCGGGGCGATTAGGCAAGTGCAAGTACAATCGGCTTAGCAAAGTACAAAACAATCAAAAGTCATCCGTATTGATGTGCAAATATATACATATGTATATGTCTGTATGTTTGTACTCGTAAAGTTATACAATCAGACTTATGTATGTATATGTTTTGAGCGACTGATCAAGAACTTATCATGAATTCTCACCGTATTAAATTAGACTGATTAAAGTATAGCGGTAAAGTCGAGAGGCGGGCAAGTTTTCCGATGGATTGGTCCAGGGTTCGATGCCTTTCGCGAAAATGAAATATGTAGCGAGGTAAGGAGAAAACTTGCGATGCGATTAGTAATGCCAATCATATGCTACCCTGAGCTTCTGAGTTCTCTATCTGCTGATAAAATTGATGTAGCCTTCAGCCATGTTACACGATATGTGTTTGGGTTAGCGCAATTTGACCATATCTCTGGTTGAAGATCGCGTTTATTAGGCTGTGAAATATCTAACTATCTCAAAGGTCCCCAAACTTGTTTTTCTTGAAGACCCATTTCAAAACTTTACTGGTTTCGGTGGACCCCCTGCTGCTACATGTCTAACATATTCCTAAGGCACGTAAAAAAATGTGAAGATTAGATCTAACGATGAAAATTTGCATCGCGGGTGGGAGCTAAATTCGGAGTGGCAAAAAAAAAAATAAAATATTTTCTTGTGTTCTGTTTTGTAAAGTAATGTGATTGTGTGACACACTTGCAAGTTTAAAAAAAAACAGAGCTCGTAAAGCCTTCAAAGTACTCTCTCGCTCTGAGGATATTTTTAAGAGCACCCCGATTGCTGGCGTTATTAACAGTACCAGGTTGACCGAGCTTTGCCCGGAGTACATATAATTTTTAAAGTTTTCATTTGATTTGGATAGCTTTATAAAAATATTTTGGAAATAAAAAAAACTTGGATTTCGATAGCTATTAGGTAAATTTCTCACTGCCAAATTTAGGTGACAACCCTATCCTGAAATACTCTGGAATGAATGGTACATATCTTGAACGTATACATATGTACTGTGTATACTTAAAAAAACATGCTGATTGAAATGAACAAAATAAAAATTTTTATTATAAGATGCGTGGCATCCCTGATGGAAAATACTCTCTCACCAAAGTTCTCAACAATACCTTTCATTTGATATCCATATTGCGATGTTTTAAATAAATTGTGTAGAATCGAAAATAAGTGGCAACCTTACCCTATTATCCTAAGGGATAACATTTTGTATATAGGAAAAGCATCGTTTAAGAACCTTTTCTTGGTACCCATGAATAGTAATATTTTACCTTTTTTTCTACAAAAAATTAAATAAATATGCGATTCAAATTAGGTGGCAACCCTAAAAATATTTTTGAATTAGGTATCTTTAAAAACCTTCCAATTGATACCCATATTATGATGTTGTAATTAATTTGTAAATAATTTCGAATAGGTGGCAGCCTTATACGAGTCTTCTCGGAGATAGCCCCTATTCAGATAACCTTCAAATCCAAAACATTATCTGTGTACAAAATTTTCTCAAAATCGTTTCGTTTCCTCACTTATTGGGCTCACTCATGAATTTGCATGTGGCGTATTTGTAAAATAGTTTATTGCATGATAAAAACATTACAAGGTAAAATCATTGAGAGGGAGTCTGACGTTTGCCAGCAATATAATTTTCAAATTCGAACTCAAGCTCACACACACATTCTCATTTTTAATCTCAAACAACAACAATTGTGAACAATTTCATTTTTTATTTTCAATTTTATATGATTTTAAAATGTTGGCAAACGTCAGAAAAAAATCATGGCCGACGAATTGAGAGAATGATTTTACCTTCTAATGTTTTTATCATGGTTTATTGTGTTGCTGGCGTCATTTTTATTTTTGTCACTCACATTTTTAAAACACAAAACTTGAAACAACAAAACCGCGAAGCTTTTTACGCCAATCTTGAAATTCGAAACTGACAGTGGAGAAAATACCGATTTAAAAAAATCGAGGACAAACAACCAAGCAAGCAAGAAGCACAACAAGTGTTCCACCGTCTCATCCTCTTCAAGGCAGGATGGGCAAATGGAGGTGTAATTTACGCCTATCTCAGTCAGGTGTTTTTGCTCCGTGAAGTTACCAGTCAGCAGGCCAACAAGTTAAATGCAGTCACGTCTGCTCAGTGAGAGCAAAAAACTAGATTGACCATCTGAGATTGAAGGCAACATGCCTCCCCTCGATGCCTTCCCGTCATTGCTGTGCGAAGGATTCACCCAGTTTCTGATGGTGGCTTCGATTGCCGAAGTGTAGAGTCCTATAACTGCTTGCGGTTCGAGGATCGCCTGGTCTAAGTCAACTGTGGCCAAATCTTCAGATGTCTTATTACCAGGTTTACCAATATAATTTAGCCCACACTTGCATTGCCGAACTAGTTTGGAAATACTTGGACAGGGGGCTGGCCAATGCCTTATGTTCAGCTTAGCTGTCACTGCAAACACGT